GGTTAATGGCCTCTTCGTTTGCGAGGGCAAGGAGGGCGCGCAATTCCTTGTCTCCCCAGTTGCTCATCTTTACAGTGTCTTTCAGGTTTGCATTTCCCTCTTGCTACTAGCTGCTCGCTAATTCCTACTATCTGCTGTTTCCTGTTTATCCACTGCCAGTCGCTCACACGTGCGGCGTCATCAACAGCTCCTCCCACAAGTCTTCAACAGCCCCTCCCGTTGGGGAAGGCCGTCTTTTTAAACTAAAAGGCTCCACCAATAAGACTACCCTACGAGGCGGAAAATTGGGCACCTCGAATCAACTCACCAATCCGGCTCTGTGTGTCTAAACACTGGCAAAACAGACCAACATTTGTGGAAAATCTGGCAGTGTAAGGGAGCGATCACACAGAAATGAGACGCTAGAGACGCAGACGCTTCAAAGACGCTTGAAGCGTTGGAAGCGCTTATTCAGTGCGTGCTAGACAAAAAAACAGCAAGGAACACTTGTGGAGTGGTGGTGCGTGCGCAACACACACACACACACACACACACACACACATGTCCTGTCATCTCGCTATGTCTCCCCTTGTATATAGTGTTTCCCTCAAAGACAGTAGAGACAGTACTAGCTTACATGACACTATCACGAGCTATCACATCAAATCCAACTTTGTTTATATAGCACTTTTCATACATACAAATGCAGCACAAAAACTGTGAACTACAATATAAGGTCACCAGCCCTCTCACACGTCCCACTATCTCAACTAGCTGCTACGACGATATTGTCGTTGTCAATTACATTGTACTCACCAGACAAATTCGTTGCGCTGCTCGCACAGCTCCATGCATGTCCCCTCCTGTGTTTGTTCAAGTACTGAGGTGTGTGTGTGTTGTATAATTTTTAAAAACAAAACAGGAAGGAGGATTTGATTGGCTGCCTGGGCCAATGACGACAATGACGAATAGTGCTACTGGCGTCTGACGCTCAAAAAGTTGAAAATATTTTAACTTTTCAGCATCTACGCACGTCTAAAAACACGCGTCTAAAAACATGTGTCTAAAAACGCGCGTCTGAAAAAACGCCCATCTAAAAAGACGCTTGAACGCGCCGTATCATAGGAAAACAATTGTTTTACTGGCGTCGCGCTTCTAGCATTTCATCTCTGTGTGATCGCCCCCTAAAAGGGGCTAATGTGTCTATGTGAAAATAAAAGGTGAATTACTTACATATTATCTAGTTTTACTTACTTTAAAAATATTTTATTAATTCTTATGATTATTTTACTGTGTATGTTTCAGTGTCATAAGAAGTACATCCCTGTATGCGGGTCGAACGGAGACACGTACCAGAACGAGTGTTTCTTGAGAAGAGCCGCCTGCAAGAAACAGAGAGCTATCACCATCATGTCAGAGGGACCCTGTTACCACGGTAACACACACACACACACACAATCACATTTTACAATCAAAAATGTGGTGGACAGTTAACTTGCTGACTTTAAACTTATTTTGAATATATATTTAAAGTAGTCATGGAGAAGGCTTGGAAATTATATTAAGACCATCTTGTTTGGAAATAAAAATTTATAGGAAAATTTAATTAAGCTGTGAATAAATGAACTATGGTAAAAATCCTGAAGCCATGATTTCTGCTGACATAAAATGTATCCAGAAATTTGGTACAGCTGGTTATAAATCAGTCAAATACAAAAGGCCTGTAACAAGTCCTCTTCATGAGTGATATGTTGTTCAGTTTGTGTCGATCAACCTCTGAGGCATAATTTTTTATTATTTCATTGATCTAAATATGTTGGACATGTGTTCTGATAGGGAACTGCTTCCTGTCAGCTGATAATTTCAAAACATGTCTGTGTGTCTGTCTCTCTGTCAGATGGTGCTTCAGGATCTGGTGATGGAGGTAAACAGATTCATATATTACCAATACACTCTTATGTTGGTTTTATAATGCAGTATTTTTAATCTGATAATAATAGTAATAACAGCAACAACAACAACAACACAGTAACAATAACAATAATAATAATAATAATAATAATTATTATTATTATTATTATTATTATTATAATAACACATGTAGAGGCTATGTTTATAGTGATGTTTTCTGTCTCTGCAGATGATGAGGGCTCGGGTCGCGGTAAAAAGGCCTCGAAATGTGGAAACTGCAAGTTTGGAGCCGAATGTGACGAAGACTCTGAAGACATGCTGTAAGGACACACACACACACACACACACACACATCCGTGTTTTAGATTTATCCACATAAGTATGGACATGGTCTCAGTATGTGTGCAAAGATATATTCTGATTTTGTTAATGCACACTCAGTGAAGTTTCACAAAGCATGATTTTCATTTTTTTGTAAGGAGGGAAAAAAACTCAAAAATATGTCAGTAGTTAAAACAAAAGTCAAAAATATGTCAAGCAAACAAAAAAGTGAAAAAATGTTGGGAGTAGTTCGGACTTAACTTTTATGGATCAGGGGTTCAGTCCGGAAATGGGGCTGGCAGGGTTGGTGGGTATGGGTAGTACAGTATGGGGGCATAATTGGTTGGTGGGATAGGACCCAAGGGATGGCTTTCTTTTTTTTTTTGTTATTTTTCAGCGAAAAAAAAAGTCCAAAAAAGTTAATAACTTAAAAATTATGGTGAAAAGGTAGTTTCTTGCAACCCTATAATTAAGATAAAAATATTTACAAACGAAAAAACACTTGTGGTTGCTGATAAGTAGTGTTTAACTTTTGATTTTTCACACTAAAAATTAAAACCCTTGGCGCGCACTGCAGCGCAAGCAGACAGATGCACGACTCAGAGCAGCATGTGTCACTGACACCAGACTGAGAGCGCAGCGGACCGGTGGAAAATGTCACCATTAGCATATTATTTTACATCAATAAAATCTATTTTATCATTATTTTGAGTCACATTGTTGAAAGAATTTAGTCGTCTGTGTTCAAGCAGGATAATAGGTCTCCATTCATTGCACTTCGGGCTTTCTATTTCCTTGTCGGAGATGTTTTCTTTTTTAATTACATGATAGCTATTCTCCCTTAACTCACCAGTAAAGAATACCTTTGTCCATTTCAAATAACCCATGGCAATAATAATATCCCTGTTCTCTGATTTACTGTGAAACTTTTTTAGGCAATTCATGCAACAATCAGACCAGATGACTTCTTTACTCGGCCTAATGGGGCCGGCC